TTTTTCCCATTTTTTTCTAATTTTATTCCAATTTTTCCCATTTTTTCCCCAATTTTATTCCAATTTTTTCCCATTTTTTCCCAATTTTACTCCAATTTTTACTCCAATTTTTTCCCATTTTTTTCTAATTTTATTCCAATTTTTTCCCAATTTTATTCCAATTTTTCCCAATTTTTTCCCAATTTTATTCCAATTTTTCCCAATTTTTTCCCAATTTTATTCCAATTTTTTCCCATTTTTTCCCAATTTTACTCCAATTTTTACTCCAATTTTTCCCATTTTTTTCTAATTTTATTCCAATTTTTTCCCAATTTTATTCCAATTTTTTCCCAATTTTATTCCAATTTTTTCCCAATTTTATTCCAATTTTTTCCCAATTTTATTCCAATTTTTTCCCAATTTTATTCCAATTTTTTCCCAATTTTATTCCAATTTTTTCCCAATTTTATTCCAATTTTTTCCCAATTTTATTCCAATTTTTTCCCAATTTTATTCCAATTTTTTCCCAATTTTATTCCAATTTTTTCCCAATTTTATTCCAATTTTTTCCCAATTTTATTCCAATTTTTTCCCAATTTTATTCCAATTTTTTCCCAATTTTATTCCAATTTTTTCCCAATTTTATTCCAATTTTTTCCCAATTTTATTCCAATTTTTTCCCAATTTTATTCCAATTTTTTCCCAATTTTATTCCAATTTTTTCCCAATTTTATTCCAATTTTTTCCCAATTTTATTCCAATTTTTTCCCAATTTTATTCCAATTTTTACTCCAATTTTTTCCCATTTTTCCCATTTTTTCCCCAATTTTTTCCCATTTTTACTCCAATTTTTTTCCAATTTTTCCCATTTTTTTCCTTTTCCCATCCCTCAAACCTCCGAATTCCGACCCTGAATTCCCATTCCTGACAAATTCTTGGGGGCATTTTCAACCCCCAAAAATTTGGGATGGCTTCGAGCAGGCGGGGAAGGATTTTTTAGGGGATTTTGGGGTAAAAAATGGGGATTTTGGGCCAGAGCCGAGCCCCCACTTACGGGCACCAACTTCCAGTACCAGCGGGTGGGACACTGAGAAAAGAGGGGGGGTCAGCGGGGGGCCCATTTGGGGAGGGGTCCCCGGGCTGGGGAGGGGTCCCCAAATGGCACCGAGCGAGTCCCGACACCCAGCAGAGACAGGGGGGAAATGAGAACTTTTTGGGGGGAGAAACGGGATTTTTTGGAGAGAGAAATTTGATTTTTTGGGGATTTTTTGGTGATTTTTTTCGTGATTTTTGGGAATTTTTTTAGGATTTTTTTGAGAATTTTTGGAGATTTTATTCAGATTTTTTTAGGATTTTTTTTAGGATTTTTGGGTGATTTTTGGGCATTTTTTGGAGATTTTTTTAGGATTTTTTGCAGAATTTTTTCAGATTTTTTAGGATTATTTTGGGATTTTTGGGTGATTTTTTTGTGGATTTTTGGGGATTTTTTAGGATTTTTTTTGAGAATTTTTGGAGATTTTTTTCAAATTTTTTGAGGATTTTTTTTAGGATTTTTGAGTGATTTTTGGTAATTTTGGGGGATTTTTAGGTGATTTTTTTAGGATTTTTTGGAGAAATTTTTGAGGATTTTTTTCAAATTTTTTTCAATTTTTTTCAAATTTTTGGGTGATTTTTGAGGATTTTTTAGGCTTTTTTGGGATTTTGGAGGGGATTTTTTGTGGATATTTTGCCTTTTTTCTGGTGATTTTTGGGATTTTTTAAAAAAATTTTTGGGGATTTATCAGAGGATTTTTGAAATATATTTTGTGGATTTTTTAGGGAATTTTGGGGTAAAAAAATGGGGATTTTGGGCCGGAGCCAAGGGACACTGAGAAAAGAGGGGGGTCAGCAGGGGGGCCCATTTGGGGAGGGGTCCCCGGGCTGGGGAGGGGTCCCCAAATGGCACCGAGCGAGTCCCGACACCCAGCAGAGACAGGGGGGAAATGAGAACTTTTTGGGGGGAGAAACGGGATTTTTTGGAGAGAGAAATTTGATTTTTTGGGGATTTTTTGGTGATTTTTTTCGTGATTTTTGGGAATTTTTTGGTGATTTTTGGGGGGATTTTTGGGGATTTTTTTAGGATTTTTTTGAGAATTTTTGGAGATTTTATTCAGATTTTTTTAGGTTTTTTTTAGGATTTTTGGGTGATTTTTGGGAATTTTTTGGGGATATTTTTAGGATTTTTTGCAGAATTTTTTCAGATTTTTTAGGATTTTTTTAGGGGTTTTTGAATGATTTTTGAGGATTTTTTGGTTATTTTTGGGGGATTTTTAGGTGATTTTTTTAGGATTTTTGGAGAATTTTTTTGGAATTTTTTTCAAATTTTTTAGGATTTTTTGAGGATTTTTTTTTATTTTTGGGGGGATTTTTGGTGGATTTTTTTTGCCTTTTTTATGGTGATTTTTGGGATTTTTAAAAAATTTTTTGGGGATTTATCAGAGGATTTTTAAAAGATATTTTGAGGATTTTTTAGGGATTTTTTAGGGAATTTTGGGGTAAAAAATGGGGATTTTGTGCCAGAGCCAAGGAACACTGAGAAAAGAGGGGGGGTCAGCAGGGGGCCCATTTGGGGTTTTTTCAAATTTTTTAGGATTTTTTGAGGATTTTTTTTTATTTTTGGGGGGATTTTTGGTGGATTTTTTTTGCCTTTTTTATGGTGATTTTTGGGATTTTTAAAAAATTTTTTGGGGATTTATCAGAGGATTTTTAAAAGATATTTTGAGGATTTTTTAGGGATTTTTTAGGGAATTTTGGGGTAAAAAATGGGGATTTTGTGCCAGAGCCAAGGAACACTGAGAAGAGGGACAGGGTCAGCAGGGGGCCCATTTGGGGAGGGGTCCCTGGGCTGGGGAGGGGTCCCCAAATGGCACCGAGCGAGTCCCGACACCCAGGGGGAGCAGAGAGAAAAGGGGGAGAAAAATGGGATTTTTTTAGGATTTTTAATGATTTTTAAAGGGATTTTTTGGTGATTTTTTCGTGATTTTTGGGAGATATTTTGGTGATTTTTTGGGGATTTTGGGGGGATTTTTTAAGGATTTTTTGAGAATTTTTTGTGAATTTTTTGATTTTTTTTCAGATTTTTTTAGGATTTTTTTTTTGGATTTTTGGGGATTTTTGGGTGATTTTTTAGGATTTTTTTGAGATTTTTTGGAGATTTTTTGGGATTTTTTTTGAGAATTTTTGGAGATTTTTTAAGATTTTTTTAGGATTTTAAAGGAATTTTTGGTGATTTTTAGGTGATTTTTTTGGATTTTTTTGAGACTTTTTTCAGATTTTTTTAGGATTTTTTTAGGATTTTTGAATGATTTTTGGGAGATATTTTGGTAATTTTTGGGGATTTTTAGGGATTTTTTTGAGATTTTTTTCAAATTTTTTAGTATTTTTTTGAGAATTTTTTGGGAATTTT